AGGTGAGCTTTTCCTGAGATCTTTCCAACATGTGAGGATTTTGCAGCAAGAGGAAGACTTAGATGTGACACAGCTGTGAACATTCATTGACGTCTAATCCACATTTCTGATATTAGTGATGGTCTCTTAAGCGTGTAATATGTAACAGTGACATCTACACAATTCCTCTCCAGCATGAATTGTGGCTGTGAGAAAACGTGTGGGCCCCGACCAGAACCGTTCCCACGTGAATCATGTATATATAGCTCATTTCCAGAATAAACTTATTGATATTTAATACAGCTTGACACATCAGCAGTATTCACATGCACTACATCAGCAGGGTTTTTGTTTTTTTCAATCAGGGTGATCTCTTTGACATAGAATAAGGTATAAACTCCGACCAAAGGCTTTTCCACTCATCACACTCATACAGTTGCAATCCCACGTGAAAGGTGTGGTGCTGAACGAGGACTGAGCTCTGGCTGAAGGCTTCCCCGCATTCACTGCATGTGTAGGGTCTTTCTCCAGAGCGAACTTTCTCACATTGAGTAAGCAGTAAGCTGACTAAAAGCCTTTCCACATTCACACACTTGTGGGGTTTCTCTCCAGTGTGAATTCTCTGGTGCAGCATAAATTGGGAGTTCTGGTTAAAGGTTTTCCCACACACATCACATACATAAGGCCTCTCCCCTATGTGATTTCTCTGATGCTGAGTTGTGAGCTCACCCCAAAGCTCTGCACACTAGTTACATCTGATAGTTTGGATGTGTTGTCCCCACAAAACACATGTGGAAATCTGACCCCCAATGTGGCAGTGTTGAGAGTTGTCTGACTCATGGGGGTGGATCCCTCATGAATGGGTGAATGGTCTCCCTCGGGAAGGCAGACCTGAGTGAGATCTCACTCTGTTAGTTCCTGTGAGTGTTGGTTGTTTAAAAGACCCTGACACTTCTCTTGTTTCTATCTTGCTTCCTCTCGCCATGTGATCTGTTTGTACCTGCTGGCTGCCTGTCACTTTCCACCATGAGTAGAAGCAGCCTGAGGCCTGTGCCAGATGCAGCTGTCCCAGAATCTTAAGCCAAATAAACCTCTCTTCTTTATAAATTACCCAGGCTCAGGTATTCTGTTATTGCAACACAAAACGGACTAATACAACATCTATAGTATTTTTCTCCTGCATGAGTTCTTTGATGCTGAGTAAGTTGAGCTTTGACTGAAGCTTTTCCCACACTCACTGCATTTAAAGAGTTTTTCTCCATTGTGAGTTCTCTGATGCAGAATAAGACCTGAGCTGCAACTGAGAGCCTTCATACGCTTGTTACACTTGCAGGGTTTCTCTCCAGTGCGAATTAACTGATGCTGAGTAAGGTGTGAGCTTCGAATGAAGGCTCTCCCACACTTGTTACACATTCGTAGGACTTCATTTCAGTGTTAATGATCTGATGCTGATCAAGGCTGGGACTCTGAGTGAAAGTTTTTCCACATTCATTGCATTCATGTGGTTTTTCTCTAGTATGAATTCTTTGATGCAGAGTAAGTTGTGATTTCTGACTGAAGGTTTTTACATATTTATTACAGCCATAAGGTTTTCCTCCTCTATGAATTCTATGATGCTGAACCATACGTGCCTTTTGACTATAGGATTTCCCACATTCTTCACTTACATGGCTTCTATCTAGTGTGAGTTCTCTGCTATCAATTAGGCT